CTCGCAGAAATTGTCACTCATTTGCTGAATTGGGGACTCGCCATTATTTTTATTATTTAATCTTTTTACAATGTTCCATAATTTATTCATGTTTGTATTTCTATTGATGGAATTCACGAATTCAAGCCATTTTTCTCTTTTTTTTGTTTTAAATAGTTTTCTAGTCTGTGCTGTGATTTTTTGGAGCTCCAGGTAATTTTTGTAGTTGAATTGAGCTTTTAGTCTCTTAAATGCTATTCTTCTTTTCCTAACTTGAATTTCGCATTCGTTATCCCACCATAACGCCGGTTTAAATGAATCCGATCTTGGTAATTTATACTGTTTGATGTGCTTAGTGGCTGCATTATTTATTGTTTCTTGAATAAAATTATACATGTCTTCCGAATCATTTGGAATGTATGATGTCTCTACAGTCTCTTCGATATCTAATCTATACTCATTCCAATTTGCCTCCTTAGTCATCCATTTTCTGCCTGAATACCATCCCACTCTCGTATTATACTTGAATTGCATCTTTATTAAGATAAGCAAATGATCAGAGCCTACATTATCTGGAATTACGCTCCAATGAAGTCTATCATGAACAGAAGGCGAACAGAACGTCAGGTCGATGGCGGCTGATTTCTTCCTAGGCGTTTGTGTTGTCGTATGCGTTCCGTCATTCAGCATTAACAGATTAAGGCTATCCGCAATGTCGTAAATAATAGCTCCTCCTTTGTCAGTTATTTCATTACCCCAAGCTAAATGTTTGCTATTGAAATCTCCTGTTAGAATTATTCTGACAGGAATCTGTTCGATGATATTTTTGATTAAGTATAGATCCTTTGTTGCCTGTGGTGCGCAATAAATTGAAACTAAACAGAACGGAGTAGCCGATTTAATTATTACCGCGGTCATTTGTATGTCTCGGTTACTTAGTGAATGTGCGAATTCTTCGCACGGAATGTTATCTTTGATCAATATGGCCGAACCACCGTAGCCGTCCTGTCTGTCCTGTCGAAATATGTTATACCCTTTGAATTTAAATAATTGGCCCTGTTTCAGCCATGTTTCAGTAAGAGCTGCCATATGAATTTTCTTATGAAACATAAGATTTTCGATGCTTTCCTTATTTGCTCTTAAAGATGTACAATTTAATTGTAAAATATTTATATTATCCATCTTTGGTTGGTATTTGTTATAATTATTTTTTCACTATCTTCTAACTTTCGTTAGAATTGACTGCACTTATTTTATTGAGTATTTCATCTTTATCACGATTATCTATACCTGTTTTATTGTTCTGGTTTAAGTAATTCATAATGGTATGTGTATTCCATTTTAACTTATATATAATTTCATCTATCTCTTTACTTTCTTTATTTCTCTCACATTCTATTTTTTCTCGAAGTTTCAATGCCAATTCTATAAAATGATTTAATTGTCGTTTATTTTCTTTCTTTTTATTGGTCCTATTACTGTTTAGGCTTAGTTGTTCTTGGTTTCTTTTTTCAGGTTTTTCATTTATCTGGTCTCTGTTATATCGATTGATCGGCCTCAAGTATTCTGTTCGACGTTTATACATAATATTTCTTGGTTTATTCATTAACATTAATCTGTCTTTGTCAATGTTAATTTCTGGTTCATCTAAACTATTCAATAATTCATATTTATTTTTATGTCTGTGTGAATCCATTTCGGTATTGCCGTTTAGTCTCGGAAACGATGAATTAAACCCCGGATTGTACGGGTTGATCTTAGCAGCCTCAGCATATCCTTTTTTCCACATCATGTTTTTAGCTTCAAGATAAGATATGTTATGTAGTGCCATCATTTCTTTTATTTCTTTATTTACTTTGAAGAATTTACATTCTTTGTCGTTTGCTTGATGGTTTCCATGGCATACTGCACATATAAAGTCTGACACGATATGGCAATTTTCATGAGAGTGTTCTTCTGAACAAAATCGGCATCTTATCTTGCTTTTGCATTGATTTTTTATATGTCCATAACGCCAGCATTTGTGGCATTGCATTACAGATTGAATGTAAGGACTAACAGCACACCTAACCGAATACATTGAGACGTATTCTGGCAGATAGTTACCCCTGAACACTATTTTTACCATTTGTGATTTTATATTTATTTTTTCTAAGTTTCTTTTTTTAATGCATTTGACCTCTAATATTTTGATATCCGATCTAATAACATCCATGATTTCTTGCTCATCCATGTCGGGTTCAACGTTAAAAATAATGCCGGTTCTGTATAATTTATGTCTTGGGATGTACGTTCGTATGTTAAATTTTTCCAAAATTTTCTCTTTGATTAATTTATTAGCATAAAAGTAGTCTTTAAATACTAATTTAATTTTGTTTCTCCCGATCTTTGAGATATCTATGATATTTTTGCTTATGTTAAGCGATTGTTTGAATATCAATCTGCCTAAAGCTAGATTGTGAAATCTGCCAATGCTTTCGTTAGTTGATTCTGCAAAAACCGTATACGGTCCTTCATCATAGGGTTCATAATAATTAATTTCTTCGTTTATTTTATTATTTCTACTGTTATCTTCATTTGTCATATTACTTTCTTCATCCATCATTTCTATCCAACTTTTACTTTTTCCAGTGCTGCTGCAACCTGGGTTATCCTCCATATTTTCATTTAATGTTGTTACTTTGTCTTTTTTAGAATCCAATTTTATCAATTTCTTGATTAATTCTTCGGGTATATTAACCGTTTTTAAACTAGCTTTATTCTTGCTTCTTTTATTGTTTTTTCGCAACATAACTTTATTGTCATCACCATTCATATTATTTAAATTCACTTGATTTATCGATGTATTATTATCACTCCGCGAATTATTTTCCACATTGCTCGGTAAAACTGTTGTATCTAAAAATTCACTGTCACTTTCTTCCGAAAAATCACTTTCCATTACTTCATCATTGTTGATAACATTAATCGATTTGCCTATTTGGATGCCTGTTTCGACCTCCGTGCTATTGTATTCCTTATCTATCACTGCAGGTATTGATACCCCGCCGGGTTCGAACGGTTTATACTCCATTATAAACCATTACTTATGTAATACTTTTATTGTACTTACTAGTCGCTCCGATCCGTTCAGTTCGGTTGCTCGAGCTCGAATGTACGCTGGCTGTTGAAAAGCTTAATTTCGGTAAGATTTTTGCCTTTAGAATTTATACCCTAGTAGCAATGAATCTGACCTGAATATGATTTTTATGTAAGCTAATGAATTGTCCTGGCTGGTGGTTGATATATTGGGAGGTATGTTCTAGATCACCAGTACGACCAGGAGTTATAATGATAGGCTGGACCCGAGCGGTGAACAGTTGAATAGTTGTTGAAATATTATATTTGTGATGTGGACTCTCCAGAGTCCATTGGTAGTGTGAAAAGGCCTTTAGGACGAACAGCGATTTGATAGTAATTTGTAAACACACTTCTTTCTTCGAATGATACTTTATTATTCACTATTGTTACAATTAATATTTGTTGATAACCTTTTGGTTATCATATCAGCAAAGACTACATTTTACTGAATACTATGTCTGGCTCCAAGCTTGACTCCAAGCTTCTCTCCAGGTTTGACTGTGAGCTTACTGACTCCAGGTTTGACTGACTGTCTAACTTTTGTCTAACTCTTATATACTAAATTATTGTTTACAACCTATTTACAAAATCCAACAGTAAGCACTTCCGATGTCCGCGTAACCTACATATAACTAGCAACGCGTTTTGTAATTATTAAACAAAATAATGATTCGAATTGTTATTACAGTTCAACCTCCCTCTTCAAAAGTTTTTCGTCCTCGGAAAACTATAAAAATTGAGAAAAAAATTAAAAAAAATGAGTTCCATCTCTTCTTCCTTCGGCCCTTAAAAACTTTTGTCCTCAAAAGTGTCATTACTGTTAGAATATGTTTACAAATAATGTGCTCTGAAAAAAAATCTAATAATAATTTTATTTTTTATCTCTACATGAATAAATCTTTAATAACATACATATAAAAAAATCAGCAGTTGAATGCAAATTAGATGGTCGCTGATTATGTAAAGGCATCACTTTGAAGTTCTCCGACTTTAAACATGTTCGGTGATCATGGTTTTATTTTGTTTCTTGTTTAAGCTATTGAGTTCGTGTTGGCGCATTCGTTTTAAGAAAAATTGTGAAGTTTCACCAACATAGCAATTTGAACAATCATTACAGTCAATGAACTTACAGTTAAGGGTTTGTGAAGTGATACTATTTTGGTGTGATTGGAATGTAAATGAGGAAGATGTACGGAATTTATTACGAAGAGAGGGTAACCTATTATTTATTACTGAGCTCAAATGTTGTAGAGAATAAGAATTATTTTGAAGGGTAGAATATATCAACTTAATATTTTTTTCCCAATATGATGGATAAGAAAGAAAGATGGCTATTAGTTGATTTGGGGTGATAGAAATGGTAGTTTAAACAAAGTCTAGACCAGTGATTCCCAAAGTGGTCCACATGGACCCCCAGGGGTCCATGGCAACTTTCAAGGGGTCCACGGCGCCAAAAACAAAATTTGGGGGTCCACGGCAGTGGATTACAATTATATATATATATATTAATACATCATGTTAAAATCTATTTATTTACGTTAAACGGTAATATAATACATATATAGATTTACAATAAATCTTTTAATATCGTTGCCAATATTTAGAAATGATTCAAAAAGTAAAGAAAAACATTACATATTTATATAAAGTAAGTTGTAGCTGTAGTAAGTTGTAGCATGTAGGCATTCGAGTTGTGGTTAAACTATACGCTGGCTGTTTTTTTTTTTTTTTTTTTTTTTTTATTATTTATTAACTGGCCTCGACTCCTTAGTCATACAGCCATTACAAATTACAATACAAAAATATAAATATAAACTAAGAAGAAAATTAAAATTAAAAATCACAATATATTGGTATTACAATAGAATAGTTACAATAAACAAACCTAAAAACATCCTACTCTATAACCTTATATTGGATTCATTTACAAAGTCTATCAGTATTCTGTACAAATCAATGTTATTACTACTAATGATGAACCTAGCATTTATAGGAAATGACACCTTTCTCTGTTGAAGCTTTTTAAACAGTATTATTCGTTGCCTTTCATACAATGGACAACTCCACAATATGTGATCTATTGTGTCCAGTACAGTGCTGCACGAACAGAACGGGTCTTGTTTTATCCCAATCCTAAATAGATGAACATTATTCTTCGTGTGCGCCAATCTTAATCTGCATATTGTAGATATCTCTCTTCTGTTCCAGTTCAATTTTTCAAACCATGTGTTTCTGGACACTATCGGTTTACACGGTCGGAATAATATACCTTTTGACGCTGATTCGAGATCAAATATTTTTTGCCAATGCAACATCCCCATTTTTGTGATCTTTCGTTTCAGATCCACGGCAGGAGCTTTTTTAATTAAAGTGGCTGAGTTTTGTGCCTCTTTGGCCAGGCTATCCGCGATCTCGTTCCCGGTGATATTGTGATGGCCTCTTATCCATACTAACTCGATCCTGTAGTTATTGTTGTTTAGCTTTTCTATTTTTTGTAAACAGTCGAATATTAAAGGATTGCCATAATCTTTAGGCATATTTAAGGCATGCAGTGAGGACATGCTATCAGAAAGAATTATTGCCTTCTTTAAATTATGTTCCTTAATTAGGTCTAGCGCACTGTTGATAGCCGTCAATTCTGCAGTAAATATTGATGCCCAATCTGGGAGTTTAATTTGAAGCTGTATATCCTGGCTTGGTATGTATACAGCACAGCCAACGCCGTCATCAGTTTTTGAGCCGTCCGTATAGATTTGTATATACTTTTCCCATCTAGTGTTCAGTAAGGCGTGCAATTCCAGATTGATTGTTTTCTTATTCATATTCTTTCCACTGACTAATTCGTCTGATAGGTGTATATATTTTTTGGGAATCGTTGCTTTCCAAGTCACTGTATAGTACGCCAATCTGTTGCTTATTATGATGTTATCTTCTAAAGACTTTAATGAATGGAAACCAGCAACTAGCGGAGGGATCGGTTTATTAAACCAGTACCTATTATTGAAATGTCGAACTGCCAGAGCCTCCAACTGATCTTGAATCCATGAATGATCAAAATTAAATTTTTTGATCAAGAATCTATTCGTTAGTACTTGTTTTCTTATATCTAAGGGAGCTTCCCCGGCTGCAGCTAATAAAGAGTTAGTGGGGGTTGATTTTAAAGATCCCAGACATGTTCTTATAGCTGCAAATTGCGCTCTACTCAACTTTTTATATAAGCCTGCGGACAATCCTCCGTATATTTGACAGCCATAGTCGAAATGGGGTCTAATGATAGCCTTATATAAAGAAAGACATGCATTTGGGTGTGTACCCCAGCTGGTGTTACATACTCTTTTGAGTAAATTAATGCCTTTCTCGCATTTGAGTAAAATCTCGCTTATGTGCTTGTTGAAATTTAATTTTTTATCAAAAGTCACACCCAGGATTTTAATGTTTTCTAATATTTCGATTCTTGTCATGTCAATATCTATTCCATGCATATTTTTGGGAGCTCTATGCCTGGTAAAAATTATGCTTTTGGTCTTTCTCGGTTCCAAAGCAAGTCTATTATTCCGCATCCATTCCAAATCGTTTGATATGGCATTAGCCAATTCTGTTCTACAATGCTCTACTGAGTGAGAAACTGTGTACATAATCAGATCGTCCGCATATTGTAGTTTTTTGACTCTTGTCCCTTCTGACGATATAAAGTCTGCCATATAGATGTTAAATAGGAGAGGGCTCAGAATCGAACCTTGTGGGATGCCCGTATATGCTGTCCTTGGCCCTATTAGACGATTCTTATTTCTCACGTAAATTTTCCTATTGGATAGCAGTGACATTATAATAATAAAAATTGTCTGGGATCTTATAATTATGTAGCTTCTTTTTGAGAATATTATGATCAACATGATCATATGCCTTTTCAATATCGGCCGTAACTAGTAGCACTTCTTTATTATCTGTCAATGCACTATAAAGATCTACAAGTAGCTCGCTTAACAAGTCGATTGTACCTTTTCCTCTCCTAAATCCGAATTGATATTTGTTTAATATACCCTTTTTCTCTATGTACCATTCTAATCTTTTTTTTAAAATGCTTTCAAAGATTTTCGTGAGACAAGGAAGAAGCATTATTGGTCGATAGGATTTATGATCACTTGGATCTTTTTGCGGTTTTAGTATTGGCACTAGCACCGCAATTTTCCAATCTTCCGGGATCCAACTTGAATTTAATATAAAGTTGAACATTTCAACTATTATACATTTGAATGCTTTGGGGCATTCTTTAATCATAATGTATGTGATGTTATCAAATCCTGGCGAGCTATTTCTTTTGTCTTTTAGTGCCAGTTCTAGCTCCTCATAATCGATGCGTCCTTCGATTTCGTGAATTGCGTGGTCATCACTTGCTTCTTCTGCTTGGTCTTGGGAGTATTGTACGGGACCAGGTACAAAGTCAGGCGTGTGGATCTTCAAAATTGTCTCGCAGAAATTGTCACTCATTTGCTGAATTGGAGACTCGCCATTATTTTTATTATTTAATCTTTTTACAATGTTCCATAATTTATTCATGTTTGTATTTCTATTGATGGAATTCACGAATTCAAGCCATTTTTCTCTTTTTTTGTTTTAAATAGTTTTCTAGTCTGTGCTGTGATTTTTTGGAGCTCCAGGTAATTTTTGTAGTTGAATTGAGCTTTTAGTCTCTTAAATGCTATTCTTCTTTTCCTAACTTGAATTTCGCATTCGTTATCCCACCATAACGCCGGTTTAAATGAATCCGATCTTGGTAATTTATACTGTTTGATGTGCTTAGTGGCTGCATTATTTATTGTTTCTTGAATAAAATTATACATGTCTTCCGAATCATTTGGAATGTATGATGTCTCTACAGTCTCTTCGATATCTAATCTATACTCATTCCAATTTGCCTTCTTAGTCATCCATTTTCTGCCTGAATACCATCCCACTCTCGTATTATACTTGAATTGCATCTTTATTAAGATAAGCAAATGATCAGAGCCTACATTATCTGGAATTACGCTCCAATGAAGTCTATCATGACCAGAAGGCGAACAGAACGTCAGGTCGATGGCGGCTGATTTCTTCCTAGGCGTTTGTGTTGTCGTATGCGTTCCGTCATTCAGCATTAACAGATTAAGGCTATCCGCAATGTCGTAAATAATAGCTCCTCCTTTGTCAGTTATTTCATTACCCCAAGCTAAATGTTTGCTATTGAAATCTCCTGTTAGAATTATTCTGACAGGAATCTGTTCGATGATATTTTTGATTAAGTATAGATCCTTTGTTGCCTGTGGTGCGCAATAAATTGAAACTAAACAGAACGGAGTAGCCGATTTAATTATTACCGCGGTCATTTGTATGTCTCGGTTACTTAGTGAATGTGCGAATTCTTCGCACGGAATGTTATCTTTGATCAATATGGCCGAACCACCGTAGCCGTCCTGTCTGTCCTGTCGAAATATGTTATACCCTTTGAATTTAAATAATTGGCCCTGTTTCAGCCATGTTTCAGTAAGAGCTGCCATATGAATTTTCTTATGAAACATAAGATTTTCGATGCTTTCCTTATTTGCTCTTAAAGATCTACAATTTAATTGTAAAATATTTATATTATCCATCTTTGGTTGGTATTTGTTATAATTATTTTTTCACTATCTTCTAACTTTCGTTAGAATTGACTGCACTTATTTTATTGAGTATTTCATCTTTATCACAATTATCTATACCTGTTTTATTGTTCTGGTTTAAGTAATTCATAATGGTATGTGTATTCCATTTTAACTTATATATAATTTCATCTATCTCTTTACTTTCTTTATTTCTCTCACATTCTATTTTTTCTCGAAGTTTCAATGCCAATTCTATAAAATGATTTAATTGTCGTTTATTTTCTTTCTTTTTATTGGTCCTATTACTGTTTAGGCTTAGTTGTTCTTGGTTTCTTTTTTCAGATTTTTCATTTATCTGGTCTCTGTTATATCGATTGATCGGCCTCAAGTATTCTGTTCGACGTTTATACATAATATTTCTTGGTTTATTCATTAACATTAATCTGTCTTTGTCAATGTTAATTTCTGGTTCATCTAAACTATTCAATAATTCATATTTATTTTTATGTCTGTGTGAATCCATTTCGGTATTGCCGTTTAGTCTCGGAAACGATGAATCAAACCCCGGATTGTACGGGTTGATCTTAGCAGCCTCAGCATATCCTTTTTTCCACATCATGTTTTTAGCTTCAAGATAAGATATGTTATGTAGTGCCATCATTTCTTTTATTTCTTTATTTACTTTGAAGAATTTACATTCTTTGTCGTTTGCTTGATGGTTTCCATGGCATACTGCACATATAAAGTCTGACACGATATGGCAATTTTCATGAGAGTGTTCTTCTGAACAAAATCGGCATCTTATCTTGCTTTTGCATTGATTTTTTATATGTCCATAACGCCAGCATTTGTGGCATTGCATTACAGATTGAATGTAAGGACTAACAGCACACCTAACCGAATACATTGAGACGTATTCTGGCAGATAGTTACCCCTGAACACTATTTTTACCATTTGTGATTTTATATTTATTTTTTCTAAGTTTCTTTTTTTAATGCATTTGACCTCTAATATTTTGATATCCGATCTAATAACATCCATGATTTCTTGCTCATCCATGTCGGGTTCAACGTTAAAAATAATGCCGGTTCTGTATAATTTATGTCTTGGGATGTACGTACGTATGTTAAATTTTTCCAAAATTTTCTCTTTGATTAATTTATTAGCATAAAAGTAGTCTTTAAATACTAATTTAATTTTGTTTCTCCCGATCTTTGAGATATCTATGATATTTTTGCTTATGTTAAGCGATTGTTTGAATATCAATCTGCCTAAAGCTAGATTGTGAAATCTGCCAATGCTTTCGTTAGTTGATTCTGCAAAAACCGTATACGGTCCTTCATCATAGGGTTCATAATAATTAATTTCTTCGTTTATTTTATTATTTCTACTGTTATCTTTATTTGTCATATTACTTTCTTCATCCATCATTTCTATCCAACTTTTACTTTTTCCAGTGCTGCTGCAACCTGGGTTATCCTCCATATTTTCATTTAATGTTGTTACTTTGTCTTTTTTAGAATCCAATTTTATCAATTTCTTGATTAATTCTTCGGGTATATTAACCGTTTTTAAACTAGCTTTATTCTTGCTTCTTTTATTGTTTTTTCGCAACATAACTTTATTGTCATCACCATTCATATTATTTAAATTCACTCGATTTATCGATGTATTATTATCACTCCGCGAATTATTTTCCACATTGCTCGGTAAAACTGTTGTATCTAAAAATTCACTGTCACTTTCTTCCGAAAAATCACTTTCCATTACTTCATCATTGTTGATAACATTAATCGATTTGCCTATTTGGATGCCTGTTTCGACCTCCGTGCTATTGTATTCCTTATCTATCACTGCAGGTATTGATACCCCGCCGGGTTCGAACGGTTTATACTCCATTATAAACCATTACTTATGTAACACTTTTATTGTACTTACTAGTCGCTCCGATCCGTTCAGTTCGGTTGCTCGAGCTCGAATGTACGCTGGCTGTTGAAAAGCTTAATTTCGGTAAGATTTTTGCCTTTAGAATTTATACCCTAGTAGCAATGAATCTGACCTGAATATGATTTTTATGTAAGCTAATGAATTGTCCTGGCTGGTGGTTGATATATTGGGAGGTATGTTCTAGATCACCAGTACGACCAGGAGTTATAATGATAGGCTGGACCCGAGCGGTGAACAGTTGAATAGTTGTTGAAATATTATATTTGTGATGTGGACTCTCCAGAGTCCATTGGTAGTGTGAAAAGGCCTTTAGGACGAACAGCGATTTGATAGTAATTTGTAAACACACTTCTTTCTTCGAATGATACTTTATTATTCACTATTGTTACAATTAATATTTGTTGATAACCTTTTGGTTATCATATCAGCAAAGACTACATTTTACTGAATACTATGTCTGGCTCCAAGCTTGACTCCAAGCTTCTCTCCAGGTTTGACTGTGAGCTTACTGACTCCAGGTTTGACTGACTGTCTAACTTTTGTCTAACTCTTATATACTAAATTATTGTTTACAACCTATTTACAAAATCCAACAGTAAGCACTTCCGATGTCCGCATAACCTACATATAACTAGCAACGCGTTTTGTAATTATTAAACAAAATATTGATTCGAATTGTTATTACAGTTCAACCTCCCTCTTCAAAAGTTTTTCGTCCTCGGAAAACTATAAAAATTGAGAAAAAAATTAAAAAAAATGAGTTCCATCTCTTCTTCCTTCGGCCCTTAAAAACTTTTGTCCTCAAAAGTGTCATTACTGTTAGAATATGTTTACAAATAATGTGCTCTGAAAAAAAATCTAATAATAATTTTATTTTTTATCTCTACATGAATAAATCTTTAATAACATACATATAAAAAAATCAGCAGTTGAATGCAAATTAGATGGTCGCTGATTATGTAAAGGCATCACTGAAATTTAAATCTTATTCCGGTAAAACAAAATATGCTTCGAACAACTTACCATAAATGATGCAAAATATTTTTTTTCAAAACTGTTATATCAATAGAGCATAAAAATCATAATATGAAAAATGTCTTTAAAATCTGCAAAAAAATATTAATGGCGTAAAGAA